ACTGTTGCCATTGGCTTTGCCGACCCATTTTATATCCGGCTCGTGTGTGTGTGTTGTGCAAGCGCTGGAGTGTAGCAGATGTCACATGCATGTGTATGCACAGATGGGCGCCTCAGGAGGGGACACTTTTAAATACAAGTCAGCAAGTTCTATGGCAGTTCTGTACTATAGGGCGACTTTCATTTGTTAGAAGTTACAAAGTATGTATCCGACAAAACAAATAAAGACAACCTGACACCTCTAGTTCTCGTATGGTACGTGCCCATGGCGGCCGCCGCGCCCCCACTGCCAGCTAGCGGCCGACCCAAGATATAAATAAAGTTCAATACCTATAAGGCATTGTGACCTATAAGGTACTGTATTGTGTAAGAGGACTGTACTCTTAATGATTGCGCGGTCGTACCCCGCGCTGAGCGCGGTGCGTACCCGAGAAGCAGCCGGGCCTACCCTGGGACATTAGGGTCTCGCAAGCAACCGGGTGACAAGCAGGCCCTCCCTCTGACATTAGGGTCTCGCAAGCAGCCGGGTGACAACCGGGCACTTCCCAGTAACATTAGGGTCTGTCGGTCACATTACCCTAGGTTTTTAGTGTTGCCCGGGGCCTCACATGTACAGTATTCCTCTACGGTTGAACAAATTCCTTGTAGGGAACGTACCTTATAGGTATTAAACTTTATGGTTATCCCCCAAGCCGACCCGCGACGCCGATAGTAAACCCAGACTGGCATACAGCCTGAGCTCTGCGCTGCCATCCTGAGTCAGCCTGTTGAAAGGAAAGCAAGAACTTGAACTCGTTCAGAACTGAGGCGGCTGCTTGCGCAACCATTTTGACAGAAGCCGCAACACCAGAAGCCGCATAGGTTCCTCCGGCTGAAGGAGGACAGGATATCACACCGCATTCTGAGAACGAAGCAATCATGAAGACGAAGAAGAGAAAGGCAGCTGAAGTGGTAAGCATGCATGTTGCTTTTCTTTGTTTGACCGCAAACAGCACCTTGATAGTTCACACAGTGGTTATCCAGGAGGGTTCCGAAAGTAATCTGAAAGGCAACGAACTTTGATGGTCTGGAATTGCTCATGTTCCTGGTCATTGCCTGAGAATGCGAGCTTTGACATGACATTGAGCGCTGTGTAAGTTCGAGTGGTTTGTGTGCAAATGAGACGTCTCTCATCTTGTACTCTCAGAGTGAAAGGTGCTCGGTGAAATTGAGGGTTTTGATCATGATACCTTTCCTTCAAACCAATGCCATTCCTTTCAACTGCAGCCTCATGCAGTTAAAGCATGTACGAATGAAGTAACATCAGCTCCCCCGGAGAGCTTGACTGATGTGCTCCGCAACTTCAAGTGGGACTATGACAAGGTTGGCATCAATGAACATCAACTAGTCTTTTGTCCATGAGTTCCGTCCCGTCTTACATGCTAGATCGCTTCCTGTTACTCAAAACACCCATTGCCTCCAGAATGTTTTTGAGAGTGAGAAGGTCGAGTAACCACTCTGGCACTCTCTCGTTCAACAACATTCATTCATAATTGTGATTGGATCAGGCACCAAGCAAGCTGGCTTGATCTATAGCAACAAAAGCGTCATGAATTCCGCTGAGTTGTGAAAACTCTTTCTGCAATCACTCATGCTCACCTGCGACCTGCAGGGTGATCTCAACCACTGGGTTGACCTGCTCAACTTCTTTGACGCATACTTTGAGAAGCACCTGCCTGAGTCTGTGAAGCTTCAGCTAGATGGGACCCTGAAGCAGGAGCAGCATCCGGTGTCCAAGGATACCCTCCTACAAATCCTGCGGGTCACCGCTGTCATCCTGGAGAACAGCTACAACAAGCAGCTGTATGGGTCTGTTGAGGTGAGCAGCATATATTTGAAACTCACAGTTGTACAATTGTTTGGAGATGCCACTCCTTTATAACAATCTGAGTGAATTTGCCACTCCCTCCAGTTGAGAATCTCAGTATGGACCCACTCAATGAGGCCTCATCATCAATACAACGGTGATTGCTAGCGACTTGTGACCAACTTGTCTTGTCACTACAGTGCCTTTCATGCACAGTGTCCATATTCGTCTTGCCCCTCGTCACTGCGGCTGCAACAATCGAAGGCATCCCTTGTCTTCCCTAATAAGCCTCCATCAGAAACACCAGGACATGAGAACATCAGAAACGCCACTTATGACTGATGATCCGCACTGCTTTCTGATACAACAATCGCCTCCCGGGAAGAATCATCGCTGCAAGCTTCGATACAGTTCAAAGACACCACGATTCTACCTTTTCCATGCAGCACCTCACGCTGCTGCTTGGTCACGAGGACACGGATGTCGTCATCGCCACTCTCAAGGCGCTTCTTGCGCTCGTGCGCAAGCCAATGACCTCCGGACGGAGCTCACGGTCCTACAGCAACCCCGCGCTGAACGTGCGGCTCCTCTCGCTGTGCCAAGGCTGGGGTGGCAAGGAAGAGGGGCTGGGGCTCCTGGCGTCCATCACAGAGGAGGTCCAGGACCAGAAGGCGCTTCAGCTTGGCAGCACGCTCTTCTTCGATTTCTACGCGGAGGCCAAGGATGAGATTGCGAGCGCAACCGGTCAGAAAAGCATCCGGCTGCCGGAGGTGCACACGCGGCCCGAGAGCGACTCCCTGCTTCTAAAGGATCTGGCGGACCACTACAAAGTCCCGCCCGAGCTGCGCTTCTCCCTCCTGTCCCGGATCAGAGCGGCTCGCTCCTTTGCCAGCCTGGAGGGACGGAGGACCTACATGGCGATCCGCCTGTTGGCCTTCACCATCCTGGTCCAGTCGAGCCCGGACTACGAGGAGCTGAGCACGTTTTTTGCGAACGAGCCGGAGTTTGCGACGGATCTCGTGGCGCTGGTCAAGGCCGAGGGCCGTGTGCCGGACGAGATCCGAACCCTAGCGGTGCAGGCACTGACGGCGCAGGCGCAGGACCGGCCGCGCCAGTCCAACATCCTGGCAATCATTACGGCGGGGGGCCACCAAGGAGTGCTCCCGACAGTCATGCAGCGTTCGGTCGGCCTGCTGTCGAAGGGCGACTCAAGAGCCAACGCAGCGTTCGTGGAGGCCCTGTTGACACTGTTGACGAACCTGGCGACATCGACATCGGGCTGCACGGCACTGCGGGAGGCGGGCCTGGTCTCGACGCTGCTCCCGCTAATCAAGGATGTGGACCCCGAGCACATTGTGATTGTCAGCCTCGCGACGCGAGTGCTGGACGCATACATGGATTACAGCAACAGCGCGTCGGCCATGTTTCGGGAGCTGCATGGCGTAGAGGACGCGGCAGAGAGGTTGACTCGGGAGATTGACCTGCATGTGCAGAAAGCGGAGGGTGCTCCGCAGGTGAGATTGGCATTGATAATTTTATTGCTTCTTTGTGTTTTCAGTTTGCGCCTTTCAAGTTTTCTCGGTCCTGCCACTTCTTGATGGTGGTTTTGTTCAAGTTTCTCATAAACCTGGAAGAAGTTGCAAATATAGTACCCTGAATGCTGTACTCTATTTCATTATGGTCTTCTTATTGCATCTTGAGGGGTGCACATGTTCAAGACACTACTGAATTTGGAAGGCCTTGAATGCTCCACTCAGTTTTGGGTCATCATCTTCTTGTCAACCACTTGGAGGGTGGGTTAGATTGCTATAGAAACCCAGGGTTTTTGATCTGCTTTGGACAGTCAATGTGGTTGTAAACTTGGACCATCGATCACAAGACGCTCGTCCATCTCAATGTCAGACTGGGAAGTCTCAGTCTCGGGTATCTCTCCGGCCTGCTGCCATTCGTGCTTGTGCCTGCTCATACCCAGCAGAGGTTCAAAAGAGTGTTTATGTGCTTTCAACAACTTTCAAAAGCAGAGGTTGCCGTTGTTTGAGAAAGTGGACTTGTAGAGCAGCTGGTTGAAGCCTGGCGATAGGCTGCAAACTCATATCTATGTCCCCACGCTCACATCATTCCTGCTGAATCCTCTGACCCGGATCCCAATCGCCTGTAAGCAGAGGCTTGTACCGTCCGAATATCTAAGTCGTGGGATTTTCCTCCCAACAGGACCCTGTCGTGCCCCGCTACCCCCTGCGCCAGCTCATCAAGTCGCTCATGCGCATGGTCGCCCTCGCCAACTACTCCAACCAGCAGGGCACCGCGCGTGTGCAGAACCTCGAGGAGAGCCGCCTGCCGTACGTCCTCCAGACGGTCTACGACAAGGCCGCGCTCTTCGGGCCCGAGATCTTCGCCCTCGGCTCGACCATCCTCGCGGAGCTCATCAACCACGACCCGATGTGCTACCCGGCCCTCCACGCTGCCCGCGTGCCGCACGCCTTCCTGGACGTGCTTGAGAAGGGGATCCTCCCCACGGCGGATTGCCTGATGACCGTCCCAAGCGCGCTCGTCGCGATCTGCCTCAACGCCGCGGGGCTGGAGCTGGTCAAGCAGCGCAAGGTGCTCAACTGCCTAGTCCCAATCATGACGTCCCCGCAGTACACCCGGGCGATGCAGGGGGAGACGCCGACGGTTCTCGGGGCGGGGCTCGACGAGCTGATGCGCCACGTGCCTACCCTGCGGCAGGACGGCGTGGCCGTGGTGCTCAAACTGCTCAGGAAGGTCGGCGCGATGGGGGGCTCCAAAACCGCCCTGGAGCAGCTGAGGGGCACGGTGAAGGCGGAGAGAGCGGCGGCAGCTTTGCTGGCCAGGACAACTGCGGAGCCGGCGCCTGAAGCAACCCGGGGGCAGGAGAGCGTGGAGCCCGCGGTCGCTGAGATGACGGAGAGTGGGGACGGGCCTGAGCCGATGGATACGGGCGACAGCGAGGCGCCTCCCCCGGTGCCGGAGGCGCCACCTGCGGTGGTTGGGGAGATTTTGGTGGAGGATAAGGAGCTGATTGGGGAGCTGTCGGATGCCGAACTGGAGAAGTTTCTGCCGGACTGCATCACGAACGTGATGCGCATGCTGGAGACGGTCCTGTCGAACCAGGAGACATGCCGCGCGTTCATCGAGAAGAGGGGCGTCGAGGCACTGCTGGAGCTGTACACACTCCCGCAGATGCCGGTCACGTTTGGCGCGCAGTCGGGCGCCGCGCACAGCATGACGGTCGCCTTCCGCGCGTTCGCGCCGCAGCAGTCGCACTCGCTTGTGCGCGCGGTCGTCTCGGTGCTCCGCGAGCAGCTCAAGCGCGGCGCGGCGGCCACCCAGAAGCAGCTCGCGGGGAAGAAGCTGTCCGACCTGGACAAGGACGTCCGCGCGGAGGTCGTCCGGCACTGGGCAAGCGCCGAGTGCCTGCTCTCGCTCGCGAGCAGCATGGTGCGCAGCTTCCCGGGCGTGATGGGGGAGATGTGCGGCGGCGCCGCGGACGTGCTCAAAGACCTGGACGTGCTGTACAAGGAGGCGGTCTGGCAGGGGGCGTTCCTGCTCGACGAGTCCCGCCGGGCGGGGCAGAACGCCAAGGAGGTCACGCCCCCGGCCCAGGAGGACTCGAGCATGGTCCAGGAGTACGTGGACCAGTACGGGAACCGGTTGGGGATCACGGACGTGAGGTGGATCCCGGGCCGGAGTGCCAGGGCTCGGTTGATCCGGGGGAGGGCCCGTGCGGCTGCAGAGAACGGGGCGATGGAGGCGGTGGACCATGCGGTGGACGACCCGGAGCAGGCGCTGGCGGACTTGGACGACGCACTTGCGGCGCAGGACGATCCGGAGGTGAGCTGCTTGTCGGGCCTCTGCTGGGGCCTGGTCGGGTGTCAGATTGTTCCGACTTATTGCCAGGACTCTCTCGCTCAGGAATCAAGTGGCACAAGTGGGAGAGCTTGTGAGGTTACCGTGCCCGATTGGACTTGGTCTGCTTGATTTTTCAAGCTAGGAAAGATTGAAGTCGTGCTGCGAAAGCTGTAGGGCAGCACGATGAGTATAATGTGCTGGGTCAGACTTTTCATTCGGGTTGCATCTGAAGCTCGTAGCTTTTGCATCTTGCGTCTTGGCCGTCTCGAAGCCAAGTCCTGCAGAAGAGAGTAATCTCCGTGCTTGGAGTTTTGAGAAAACTCATCTGCTTGTAGCCATAGCCTTTTGGTCAGATTGCTTACACTGCTTTGCATCTTCATTATTAAGCTCACAGCTCTTTCCCCTCCTCCACAGACACCCATGGCGAGCGACACAGGCGACAACTCCGCCACGCCCAACGCTGCCCAAGCCGCCAAGGCCGCTGAGAAGGCAGAGAAGGCAATGTACGAAGTCGTGGGCCGTCTTGCTACCGCTGGGCGTGGTATGTACGTCGCTCTCGGCAAGTCGATCGTGCAGTCTTCGCGCCGCGGCCAGGACGTGACGACACTCAACTCGCAGGCCAAGAAGTACATTGCCTGGCTGGCTGAGTCTGCCAAGAGCGCCTTCAGCCTGTCAGCCCAGGCGAAAGACGCCCCCCTGGCGGTGAAGTGCGCGTTCGTGAGCCGGATCGCGGACGATCTGCTGGCGACCGTTGTGGACGTCCGGCGGAGGACGTGCAACACGGCGATTCTGGGCGGGCTGGACGCACTTGGTGCGATCCAGGAGGTGCTGCTGACATTTGAGGCGAGCGCGCAGCTGCTGTGGGCGCAGCTCGCGAAAGCGGGCGAGCAGGGGGACAAGGGCGCGGCGGCGGGGGAACTCTCGCACGGGCTGTTTGACTTGCTGCTGAGCCTGACCCGGTTCGTGGAGCAGATAGTAAATGCGCAGCTGCTGCTAGCTCCGACCTCCAGCTTGCAGCTCATGGTCCAGCCAGTCCAGGGGGCCGTGAAACCGGCCGCGAAAGATGCAGAGAGCTTCGTGCTGGGGCTGCAGCAAGACGTGTTAGACGTGGTGCTCCCGATCTGGGGCCATCCGTTGTTTGCCAAGAGCCCCGCCCCCTTCATTGAGAGCATCTTCACGATTATGACCCAGATATATAGCGGGGTCGGCGACAAGAAGGGGCAGAAGATCAGCGCAGGGGGCGTGCCTGCGATCCCTGCGCCGCGGCCGGCGGCGTTGCCACTCGACGAAGACGCGATCAACATGATCGTCGAGATGGGCTTCTCGCGCCAGCGCGCGGAGGACGCACTACGGCATGTGCGGACGAACGACGTGGAGGTCGCCTTGGAGTGGCTCTTCAGCCACCCGGAAGAACCCCCTGCGGCGTCGACGGCGACAGCGGCGGGAGGCAGCGACGAAGACGAGCTGGCTCGCGCGCTGGCGCTGTCGATGGGGGGGATCGATACGGACGTCACGGACGCGGGGGTGCCGGAGAAGCCGGAAGAAGAGCCCCCATTGGAGGTGCCCGCGGTCAAGGATACGCTGTCAATGGCTGTGCACTTGTTGGTGCAAGCGGGGGAAGTCGCGTTCTCGATGACTGACCTGTTGGTCTGCCTGTGCAACCGGAAGGAGGGCCAAGACCGGAAGGAGGTTGTTGCGTACTTGGTGGAGCAACTGAAGGTGGCGAAGGAGAGCGGGGACGAGGGGAGCCTGTCGACGGTCGCCCACGTGTTGGCCCTCGTGATGCACGAGGAGAGCAACACGCGCGTGCACGCGGCGCAGGCGGGGCTGGTCGACATCGTGCTGGAGCTTCTGGCCGGGTTTGTGGAGCGGGTTAAGGACGCGGATGTATTCACCACGGCGGCGGCAGGGGAGGCGCCCAAGCAGGCGGTGCACCCCCCCTGGGTGGACGCGCTTTTTCTGGTGCTGGACGGGTTCTCGACCAACAAGATGCAGCTGGGGGAGGAGCTAGACGTGGGGTTGAATGCAGTCCGAGGAGTTCCCCCAGCTCAGAACGCCAACCCAACCCAAGCCGCTAATCAAACCCCGAACCCGGCCACGGGGGCAGCCGAAACGGCTCAGGAGAAGAAGGAAGAGAAGACGAAGGAGAGCACCATGCTGAGCGCACTGTGCAATGCGGGCGGGCTGCTCTCGGGCAAGCAGCAGGCGCAGGCGATGACGATCTGCTGCGCTCTGCTGCAGAAGCAGCTGCCGCTGGATGCGGCGCAAGCGGTGCTCCAGCTGACGTCCCACCTGAGCAAGAGCCACAAGCTGGCGGTGCAGGTGGGTCGTCGTAGTTGTCTTTGTTTGTTTTTTTTGTTCCGCCTCGATTAAAAGTTTCTGGATGCCAAAGTTTCTGGGCCTGAACTGCATAGTGTTAAGGCCGTTCAGCGGTTCGCTCCATCCTTTTCGGATTTTGGGCTTCAAGCTCGTCGTACAGTAGGTCGTTGCTCTTTCATATGTTCGTGACTCGTTTTCCATCGATTCAGCGTCGTGGTCCCGCACAGTTGAGGCCGTTAAGGGATTCTGCTCCGCTTGTCTTGGATTGTCGGCCATGAGACCGAAGGCAGTTGCAAGTCTGTCAACCTCCGTCGGGAATTGCCATCTGCCTAAATGAGTAGTTGCCGTTGTCTTAGGGAGAGGGCTTTGAGAGTCTTGCGTTCTGCTGTTGGAATCAGACTTGCTCGAAAGGCAGCGGGAACTTTTTGAACATCATCGAAGTGGACGCACTCTGTGCTCCTCGTCGCTTCAAGAGAACCTGCCATTGACTTCTAAAACTTTGCATCTCCATGGCGCAGTTCCTCGACTCTGGCGCGCTCTCGGCCGTCCTCGCCCGCCCCGAGGTCTACATGAACCCGCGCTTCGAGCCGCTGGTCGCGTCCATCATCCGGCACGTTCTCGAGGACCCGCACACGCTGCAGCAGGCGATGGAAGCGGAGATCAAGCAGGCGCTCGTGACGACGCTCGCGCGCCAGATGGGAACGCTCAGCCCGCGCATGTTCCTGACGACAATGGCGCCCGTGATCTGCCGCGAGCCCAGCGTGTTTATGGTGGCGGCGGCCGCGGTGTGCCAGGTGGAGAAGGTGAATGGGCGGCAGACGATCGTGCTGAAGGAGACCAAGGAGAAGACGGACAAGGTGGGGATTGCATTTGACCACCCTCAGAAACTGTGTCTTGGGCCGCTCGCTGCTCGCTTTGGAGCTTTGAAGCCAAGCAATCATCCTTCTGAATTCGTATTTCCATCAGAACGTGCTGGACCAGGTCTATAATCCTTCTCTTGCAATTGGCAGCATCGCTTGAGCGCAGCACAGAAAAGATTCGTTAGGCCTGCGCGACGATAAAGGTTGGGTTTAATGTGTACAGTACTTTTGATTGAAGGTTACCCAGCAAAGACGGTGTTGCACCTTCAAGATCTGTCACCGAGATGCTGACAAAATGGTCCAATTCTGGAGCCTGAAAAGCCGGATAAGTGAACAAGAAGAGACAAGTTCTGCTGCTCCTCTGGCTCTCCTTATTTTATAAAGCTTCTGGACAGTTCCTGTTTGAGCTTCGATTCGAGAACATCGATGCCTGTTCCTAACGTCGAGATCGACTCACACGACCACGGCTCTGGTCCGAGTACCTTTTGAATCGCAACCTCCTCTGCAGGGTGAGCCCAAAGCGAAGGACGAGAAGAAGGACGCCTCCAGCACCAAGCCCGAGGAGCCCGGGGCTTCTGACGCCGCCCCCAAAGCCACTCCTTCAAAGGCCCCTCGGGGCTCCCACCCGGGCAAGAAAATCTCCCACAGCTTCACCGCAGTCATTAACCAGCTGCTGGAGGTCGTTCAGCGTTACAGCCCCCCTCAGAGCCTGGAGAAGAGCGCTCCTAAGAAGACCGCCGGGGCTGACGAGGCAAGCCCGATGGACGTCGACGTCGACGACAAGGGCAAGGCGAAAGTCGAAGAAACTGCCGCGGGGAAAGAGAAGGACGAAGAGGTGGGCTTGAGCGCGGCACAGAGGGCGGAGGCGGCGCGGGTGCTTTTTGTGCTGCGCCTCCTGACCGAGTTCTGCCTGCTCTACTCGTCGTGCCTTTCGGTGGTGCTGCGCCGCGACTGGGAGAGCGCCCAGGGGAAGGGAACCGGGGGCCTGCTGCACCACATCCTGCATCAGCTCGTGACCTACCGTGCGCTTGGGGCGGAGGCCCGGGCAGCCCTCGACAGCTGGGACCTGCTGAAAGCCATCCCGCCAACCGCGTCTAGTTTCCTGAACGCGATCTGCCTGCGGTCCAGCGAGGGGCGGAAACGGCTGGTCACTGACATGGCCAAGGCGCTCCTTTCTATTCCCGACAGAGGGGCGGCGCCGGCAACCGGGGAAGCGGTTCCCGAGGAAGGGAAAGTGGACACCCTGATCGGGTTAGCGCTTAACCTGCTGTCAGCAGGCCCAACCGCGAGCGCCGCTGGGCCGTCCTTCTCGGCGGAGACTCTGAAGACGACGGTTGAGGCCGGGATGGTCCAGTCGCTAACCCATGTGCTAACCAACGTGGATCTGGACCACCCCCGCGCCCCAACGCTGGTGAGCAAGATCCTGAAAGCCCTGGAGGCGCTGACACGTGTTAGTCCGAGCATCGCTGCGCATGCACCGGCTTCTCGCCTGGGGCACGTGCGCGGGGACACGAGCGCTCGGACGGAGGTCGTCGGAAGCCAAGGCGAGGCACCCCCAGCGACTGCGGGCGGTGAAACTGGGGCAGGTGAAGGGAGACCAGCCCAGGGGGCAGAGGTGGGAGGCGCTCCGACTGGGAGCCAGCCTGCGGCGGAGGAAGAGCGACCCCCCCACGACGAAGAACAGGACCGGATGGACCATGACCGGCTGAATCGGCACCTGCAGGTAGATCCATCTTCCCCAAAAAGTCTCAACCGACGTCGCTTGTCGGTAGGCTTATCGTTTGCCTCTTGTTGCAAAGCTTATGCAGTTTGCGAGTTGGACAGATTCCTTCTCCCCTTTCCGTCAATCTCCTTCGAAGGTAGGACTACGCGTTTTCTGGTGATCAAGCTCACGTTCGACTGAAAGTTGCAGAGCATTCGGTTGTCGTAGCATGTTCTATGATCCTGTTTAAGCAGTCAGCGCATTCCGACGTGGGCACCAATTGTTGTACAAAGGATTGTGATATTGTCCAAGCAGTCAGTCGCGTTGTGACTTGAGCAAAGTCTCTAATAATCGCTCTCTGCCTTGCAGCGCATGGCTGTCAACCGCATGGCAGAGCGCGACCGCTTCCGAGAGATTACCGAGGACATCAACCGCATGGTCGAGGACATTCGCGACGCCGAGGAAGACGAGGCCTCCGATGACGACGAAGAACACCCGGGACCCATGCGCATGATGGCCGGTTTCGGGGGCCCGGTGCCATTCGGACACGAGGACGAGGGGCCGTCCGACGACGAGGAACCGTCCGAACCGGATGAGGACGATGATGATGAGGGGGATGATGACGACAATGATGACGACAATGACGGGGAGCCGGATGATGGCGAGGAGGACGATCAGGACGGGGACGAGCACTTGGAGGGGGATCCTGGGCCGCTTACGGACGAAGAAGGGGTAAGCTTAGGATGTTTTTTGGACTTGGCGTGCTAAGGACTTGCGAATGTCTGAGCATCCTTAATTGATTGTAGATGCAGTTGCTTCGTCACAGTCAAGTCTCCTCCCTGGTTTTCCCTCATCTGTTACCTACTTCGTTGACGGAGGTTCCTTGGTCAAAGACTATTTCACTCTGAACAGCCGTCCTTAGCGGGATATTGGGACGAAGGTGGAAGTCAAAACCCTCTGCACCATCATGTTCTTGTTGAACCTTTTCAGATACGTCAGGAGGCGGCCTCTTCTTCATGATGATAAAACCCACCAGTTCTGTGACAGGGCCTTTGGTTCGGCTCTTCCTTTTGAGTGCTCCCTGAGAAGCGCCAACGAGGTCTCATTTACACCCGCTGACCCCTCGTATGCTTCTCCCGTCAGGACGAAGAGGAAGAAGAGGAAGAAGACGAGGACGAGGACGACGGCGTTCGCTACGCGCTCGCGCACCCGCCGCCCGCGGTGCACGACGCCGACGAGGACGAAGAAATGGATATGATGGACGAAGATGAAGAAGAAGACGAAGATCACGACGAGTGGCACGACGACCACATCACGGAAGTGCACTGGGGAGGCGGCCCTCGCCACACGGGCGGGCAGCAAGTGGTCGCCCACGGCCACCAGATGCATCTGCTGGACATGGCGCGGGGGGGCGGCGCGATGGCGTCCGTTGGGAACCTGTTTGCGGGGCTGAGGCGGCAGGTGGAGGGACGGGGCAACCGGGCAATCACTTACAGGTAAGTGTTATGTATGAAGTGCATCAAAAGCAGAGGTTGAGGTTGAGTCTCTTGAGTCTCTGCTTGTTTACATCGAGTTCATCATACGTCCAGTTTCCGTCACTTTCGTTTGTCCCGGCCAAGGCACCTTCAGCATATGTCTTGCTAGTCTATTAGCCCCCGTCCTAAAGGGCTCGGAGCACCTGGCGCAACGGGCTTTCTTTTCTCAACCTCTTTGCCTCCTCAGTGCTCCGATCGTTCAATTACTTCAAGTACAACATCTCTTCAGCAACCTGCCTCTTCCGAGTTCCTCAAGACCGAAGCTGACTCTGACGTCACTTGTGCAGGCCTTATCCCGAGCGCTCTGCCCGCGCTGAAGCCCGTATCGGCCCGCAGCAGCACCCCCTCCTCTCCCGCGGCCCCACTGCCGCCAACCCCACGCCGCCCATGGCCACGTCCACCTGGCGCAACGTGGCAAGCCACCACGTCATCGTGGGACCGTCCGGCGCCGGAGACCCGGAGTATGCGCGCCTCTTGGCCGTCGATGCGGCTCTGATGGCGAACTCGGGGGTCGACGGCTGGCCGGCCGGAGGTGGCGCGGGCGGCTTTGTGGACTTCGGAGAGGGTATGGCGTCGGGAGGTGCGCGCCGAGGGGTGCGCACGGATCGGATGGCCAGCTGGGCGGAGGACAGCCAGATGCAGGTGGGGCGTTCTGCTGAGATTCTGTTGCGTTATTTTGAGATCTCTGCAACCAAGGCTTAGGTGGGTCGGAAAGCACTGGATCTTGATGTCCTCGACTTTCGTGATACCTTCTTCGCCTCTGCTGTTGTCTTTGTAAACTTGCTTGTTGGGACTGTTTGATCCTCAGTCGCTGTCTTTTAGGAGTTCCAATTTGCTTATCTGAGGCTTTGAGCGGTTGTGCATGCGATTGTCTCGTGAATATCACCACAATGTCGCTGAACAAAGGCACGAGCTACAGGGCTCTTTTGCACTTAAAGCTCACAATCTGGTGCACTTAATTCTGCCCATCATATTCTACTCTCTACTCCTGCAGGGTGGCGGCCTCAACGCCACCATTGCTGAGCTGGTCGAAGGCGACTTCGTCAGCCAGCTGACCGTTCCCGAGCCTCCGCCACCGGAACCCGAGCGGCCCGCCCCGGCCGTGCCTACATCCCAACCAGAAGAGCCCAAGCCCGACGAACCGCAGGCCATGGAAGAGTCTGGACAAGAAGGCGCTCCTGCAGGGGGCTCCGCAGACAGGGCGAACGAACCCCCTGCGGCGGAGGCGACGTCGGAAATGGCTGTGGAGCAGGAGCCGGCCGCTAGGGCAGCCCCCGTTGCGCCCCCCGATGAGGGGATGGGCGCCCTGGACGATCAACCGGGCGCGTCGACGGGAGAACCGGCAGAGCAGGGGGATCCCCCCGCTGAGGAGCACGGGGACGTCCAGATGGGCGAAGGGGGACAGGGACGAGATGCGCCGGACGCCAGCGATGGGGGGAGTAACATGGGCGAGAGCCTGAGGAGCTTGGACGTTGAGATCGGGAGCCGAGATGGTAACGAGGATGTTCACGCAGGGGAAAGAGAGCACGGAGCACCAGGTGCGACACTTTTCTGAGAACTCGATTGCCACAGGAAAGGGCTGTTGCCTAAGTAGGGCCTCAGGGTTGTTCGCTGTTATAATGACTGTTAATTTGAATTGAGTCTGGCAATGCGAGAAGTCCAGTTGGATCTGATCTGCTTTGTCACGGTCCACAATGACTGGAAACTGTGTGCCATGGCTTGCTCTTGCCACACCCAACTCAAATAGTTCTTTAAAATGGTCAACACCCCTTTACGAGTGTAATAGATCATCCAATTGTCCGTCTGATGCGTTCACGGCCAGGATCTTTGATGGCTCCAGAATGAGGCCCGATTTCAGTAAAAACGTACACATCACTGAATCGTCATCTAAAGTCTTCTGCTATTTCTGCAGCCGGCCACACCGAGCCTCCAGCCGATCCTTCCCAGCAAGCGGAAGAGACCGCGCGTCCAGAAGGCGTCGGCCCCACAGTTGCGGCTCCCGTGGAGGCGGCCCCTGAGACCGCGACCGGCATGAGCGGAATCGACCCCACCTTCCTGGACGCCCTGCCTCCGGAGCTGAGGGCGGAGGTGCTCGAGAACGAGCAGGCTGCGGCGAGAAGGTAAGTTCTTTGCTTACGTCGCTGCTTACTCAAGGACTCGACCTGCTTCGTCCTGCTCACGTCACAAAAGTTATCTGTCGGGTGTACCTTTTTCCGACATGCAACTTTCGGGGGTTCTTCGAGCACCGGCCTCACAGCCGTTTCCTGTGTGCCTGTCTCTTTTCACTTCGATCTTGCGGAGACAGCACAGCGGCTTTCTCTCTGGCTAGTAATTTCGTTTTGTTCTGGAAGGGGAACTTTCGCGGGCCGACTTTGGTCATCCTTTTGTCCATTCTTTACACGCATCTCACTCCACTTCTTTCCCGTTCCTCCAGGCAAGCCCGCCAGGCGACCCTCGCCGCGCTCGCCCAACCCCCGGCCGCGCCCGCGGCACCCGCAGACCCGACCAACCCACCAACAAACGAAGCCCAAAACCCGGACCCCGCCCCATCGGCCGCTCAAGTACCCGAAGCCGCTCCCGGTCCGAGCAGCAACAACCCGATCGAGGCGCTGCTGACGAATGACGTGGACCCGGAGTTTCTGGCGGCGCTCCCGCCCGATATGCAAGCGGAGGTCCTTGCGCAGCAGCGGGTCGCACAGGCGGCGGCGCGGCATGCGGCGAGCGCGACGAGCGCCGACATGGACAGCGCGTCGATCATCGCGACGTTCCCGCCGGACCTGCGGGAGGAGGTGAGTACTGAGTCAAAGTGGGCGGGCTTCGTTCCGCTTTAGTAATCTGTGCAACGGTTAGTTACCCAATTCATATCCTCATCCGTCTGGTTCGGCCATCTTGGGCTTTCTTTTCTTCATGTAGGAGTGATGCTGGACATTGTAAGAAGGAACTCTTTAGTTGCCTATCGAGGAAGCAAGGAAGAGGCGAAGCTGCTGATGATCCCCATTGTATCGTTGGGGGGTCGCAAGATTGAATTGATTTGGACATGAAAGTGGGGTTTTCGGATGGTGTCAAGGTAGAGTTGTCCGTGAGGATCTCCCATTAGCAAAAAGCTGAAGCTCCTGCAACCCCAGCAGGCTGCGCATAACTCGCCTCATCAACTAAGTTATCGGCAGCCGACTTTCAAGCCAAAAGAAACTGGCGAGTCCAATCATTCACAAGCTCATCACTCCCTTTCTTGTACCCCAGGTCCTGCTGACAGCCTCCGAGCAAGTGTTGGCGGCCCTCCCGCCGGCCCTGCTCGCCGAAGCGCAGCTCCTGAGAGAGCGCCACCTGGCGCACTACCGTCACGCCGACCCCGGGCGGGCAGCCCAGCGAACGCGCCTCCACCAGATCAACCACGCGCTCCAGGCGCGGGTGCGCGGAAACGGCCACGTCAGCACGCATCCGCACCACGTGCCTGAGCCGCATAGGAAGGAAGTGGAGGGTCGGCCGCTGCTCGAGACGAAGGAGTTGGGGTCAATCTTGAGGCTCTTATGGCTCGCCCAGGTGAGACTGCAAAGCGCCTTTTGGGTTATCATATGATCATGTCCATTCTTGGGCTTCACATCCGAGGCAACTTGCCATGCCGATTTTTGCAAGATGACCAGAACGACGCAATCCTTTGGCAGATTGTCTAGTCCCGAAATTCCTTAACGCGTTTGGACTCTTCTCCAGGTTGTTCAGCACACTCTGGCAACCTGTATTATCCAGCCTGGCATCCACGTTCTCCGCTTGGTTTTCGCTCCTTTCCTCCCCCCTGCTATGGGACCGCGTGATCGCGCTTACGTGAAGGAAACCGTATGTCAGCCCTATCCCAATACCCTCGCTGGTATTCTGTAAAGGAGGACCTACTTCGTGCGACACTCTGATATCAATAGACATGCTACCGTGCTGCTCACACCTCTTTGAAGGTACCGAAGCTGACCCCGTTCGCTTTTTTGCAGCCGTTGGGCAATGGCCTCCTCCTCCTATACCTGTTGCTAATCCTCCTAAATCATCTGCTAACCCTTCTTCTAACCTCGCTCCTAACCCATTTGCAGCCATTGGGCAAGGGCCTCCTCCTCCGCCTCCTCCCGAACCTGTCTATCCAGCCATCCCTCCTGTTAACATTCGTTAACCCTCTTTCTAACCTCACTCCTACCCATTTGCAGCCATTGGGCAAGGGCCTTCTCCCCCGTCTCCTCCTCAACCTGTCCCTTCACAGCAAGACGCGCACTGCCATGCTGCGCCAGCTGCTGACCATTATGCGGCCCAAGGACGAGAAGGCGTCTGCAGACATTGAGGCAATGCCGGACCGGCTCTTTGGCGCGCAGTCCAACGTCGTCTATGCGCGCTCTGATGCCACCACAGACGGTGGGTGCCTCAATTTGTGAAGAGTTGCTCAACAATCGCCGGTTTGGGGGCGGTTCATGTCTTGCTCCTCTGCTCTGCTTCGGTTTTTGGAAATCCCTCTTTTTCTAGAGATAATCTACTTGGTAGTTGCTATTCTAAATTTTAGCCGTGTTCGCCCACCAGTATTTGTTCAGCAGTCTAACGGCCGTCAGAATGACTCGAAGCGTCGTACTTGCATCACGTACACGCCAGCTGTCTCACAGCGCACAAGGGTTTGCATCGCATGCCGTTCCCCGAGAGATCGTTCACTACTTGGGTGATAGTGTCAGCCACAACTCAGCTCTCTGTATGAGCTATACCCGTCTTTTGCACAGGTTCTGAGGAAGCCTGTCAGGAGCGTGCAGTCCAAGAAACCCCATAACTCCATAGCCCCCACGCCTTTGCTCACACTGCTGAAATCCTGTTTCCTTGCAGGTTTCCCTCCGCTTCTCTCCCGCCGTGTCCTAGACACCCTGACCTACCTGGCTCGCCACAGCGGCACCATCGCCCACCAGCTGTTGCAACTGGAGGTCGACGCTCCTGAGGCGCCCACCGACCGTAAGGGCAAGGCGAAAGTCGTGGAGTCGGAAGAGGTCGCAAAGACGGTGACGGAAATTCCTCTCGTGCTGCTGCTGAGGCTGCTGAGCCAGCCGCTGTATGTCCGGAGCAACTCGCACCTGGAGCAGGTATGCGATCATTCTTGTTGTTGGCCGATCTCACTGGAAAAAACTTTATATGAGCTGGGTTTGCTCTGAGTTGATGAGGCGCGTTGGTTGAAACGCTGCTGAATGGAGTGGGGCTTGACTCTCGTAGTCTTGCAGTCCGGTATTTGGTGAATTCATTCGTCATTTCAGGTCTCGGTTTGTTTTTTGGTTCCGACGAACTTGAAGCTACAGCACTAGTGGCGTTGTTCTCGTTGGATTTAAGAACTCGACATGCTATCAAACAATCAAATGAGCAAAAGCGGAACTTCCCAGAGATTTTGGACGTTGGCTTCCGGTTGATCGCATGTGATAGAACTTCAAATTCGTCAGCCACGCTTTCAGGGCTTCTCCCATGAAGCCCGAAAAAGATGAATCAAAAACACTTTGAAGTTGAAAAAGGTGGAGTTTAACAATCGGAATCCTTGTTCACTCGTGCAGCTGCTCGCGCTGACCGAGGTCGTCATGCGCCACGCCGAGGCTGACATGGCGGAGCACCGCGCGCGCGTGCGCGCCCACGAGAAAGAGCTCGAGCGCCAGAAAGCCAAGGCCGAAGCCGAGCAGAAAGAGAAGGAAAAGAAGGCAGCCGAGGATGCGGCGGCCCGCGCCGCCGCACCAGCCCCAACGGAAGGTGACGTCAGCACCGAAGCGGCGCCCGCTGACGGGCCCCCGGCCGCTGCCCAGGAGACGTCAGCACAGCCGGAGAGGATGGATGGACTTCCGGAACTTTGGGACGTGGATAGGCAGGAGAAGGACGAGGGGGAGAAACTAGAGGCAGCGCCGATCGGGCCGTGCGAGGCAGAGACGGTGCTCAAGGAGCTGCCGGCCAAGGAGCTGAGCTATCTGTGCCGACTGCTGGCGCACCAGGGGTGAGGCAATCCTGTCTGCTGAAGTTTTCAAGCTTCTATTTTTCAATCGGTTACGCAGGCTCCTTTAACACTGATGCTCATACTTACACACAAGAATGGACGTGATGGGAGGGACCCGGAGGGACGTTGAGAAGTCGAGGAGAGTCGGACGAAAAGCTTGCCCGAAGGGTTGAAGCCATGCTACGGTCGAAGCTTTCCCATGCCCGCCTCCTGATTGTCTTTCCGAAAGGCTTGCCTGGCACCAAGTCTGGTAAACTTCTTTAGCAAGGGACCTCTTTGCCGTTCGCTTAGCGTAGGTTGTTCTCGAATCTGTCCCGTTGACTTGCAAACCCGAATACTAACAAGAGCCCCGCTCTCCTTCCTTGCAGCTTCCCGGAGGCTACGTATCCGAAGGTGTCCACCATCCTAAAACTCCTCGCCAACCCCGTTCCTGCGCACCGCACGCTCTTCCTGGGAGAGCTCAAGACCGATGCGCACACTTTGGTGCGCCCCGCCGTCGCCGAACTCGAAACCCTCAGCCACTCGGCAGCGGTCTCGGCCGCAATGGACGCTTCAGCGGGGGCGGCCCTCCTGCGCGTGCTCCTCATGATCGGCTATCTCATGGCGGGGAAGCGGGTTAAGGACGGGGTTACGAAAACCGAGTCCGCGGGCGCCGAGGGCGTCGCGGTGATCGACGAACTAGCGCCGGCGCTCGAGCCCGTCTGGCAGGCGCTCAGCGGTTGTGTGTCGCAGCTCGAGACGCAGCTCGTGCAGACGACCGCGCTCGGGGGGCTGAACGTCGCCGCGGGGGGGGTGGCCGCGGCAGTGCAGAGCCTGCCCCCCTCCGTGGGGAAGGTCCTCCCGCACATCGAGGCGTTCCTCATGTGGTGCGAGAAGCTGCAGGAGGCCGGGGAGCTCAAGAAGGCGTCCGAAAAGGCGAAAAAGGCGTCCGAAGCGGCGGAGAAAGCGTCCGAATCGTCCGAGAAGGCGTCCGAGAAGGCGTCCGGAAGCGGGGCGTCCGGTTCGCAGGACACGACAATGCGGGAGGTGTCCGAGTCGCGTCCGAATTCTCCCGGAAGCCGGCAAGAGGGGGGGGAGTCGCCGGCGCATTCAACCGGGACGTCGACACCACGGCTGTGGTCGCAGCAGAGCACGCCCCGGGACGTGGCCCGCCCGTCGACGTTCCAGGCGTTTGCGGAGAAGCACCGGAAGCTGCTCAACGCCTTCATTCGCCAGAACCCGAACCTGCTGGAGGTGGGTTGTTTCTCTGCGGGAGTGTCTTGCTTGAAAGGGTCTGGTCATTGGGGATCTGGTCTCCGCTTGTTCTGCTGACGAGCATCGATAACGGGACTTTCAAGGAAGCGCTTCTAATTGGACGAAAACAGCAAAAATAACCTCTAATATCTACATTCGTATGATTCTCGTTTTGCGACTCCTCAAAAAGTGTTTATATACAATTGAAAAGCACCTTTCGAGTCAGGAGATTGAAAACAAGTCCACGAACCTGCTTCAAAGCAGTTGAATTCTGACGCTCCCGACTTTTACGCAGGGCACTTTCAACCTGATCCTCAAGACGCCGCGCCTTATCGACTTCGACAACAAGCGCAACTTCTTCCGGTCGAAGATCCGGCAGCAGCACGAGCAAACGCACCACCACCACTCGCTGCGGGTCCCGGTTCGACGGGCGTACGTGCTGGAGGACTCGTACAATCAGGTATGAACCGAGGAGCCAAGCCAAGATTGATCCCAGTCTGGTTTGTGATCCAGGTATTGCGGACTTAAACTCCTATGGTTTGCCAGCGATGGAACTTATGCACAGAGTCGGTTTGCTGCTCGCTATCTTTCATTGCATGAACATTGTTGAATAAAACATGTACGAGGTTTCGACGGCTGTGATTTTCGTTAGACCTCTCCACACGGGTGTTTACTATGAATTTTGTCCGGAGGAGCACAGAGGTCGTCGCGCTGGTTCTTGTGTCCTTTCGAAACGTCCTGTCAAGGCTTCTCTCGTAAGGAGCATCCGCATCTCGTATGTGGCTGCGGAGCCCGCTTAATGGTGTACTCCTTTTTCCACCGGCTCTTGCAAAGCAGGCCATCTCTGATGCGGGATACTCCTCACCTCGTATGCAGCTGCGCATGCGGCGCCCCGAGGAGCTGCGCGGCCGGCTCGTGGTACATTTCCAGGGCGAGGAGGGCATCGACGCAGGCGGGCTGACGCGCGAGTGGTACCAGCTGCTGAGCCGCGTCATCTTCGACAAGGGCACGCTGCTCTTCACCAGCGCCGCCGGCAACGATTCCACGTACCAGCCGAACCCTAACTCCGGCTACCAGACGGAGCATCTGTCCTACTTCAAGTTCGTCGGCCGTGTGGTGAGTTGCGAGGGTCTCAGGTTCCGCAAAAGGTTTGGATCAAGAATTTAGGGTTAGGGTGCTGATGCTGGCCCGGCTGAATGTGGGGTGGTCTGTAACAACTGGTGTCGTTTTGGCGGCGCTTTCTTGCCTGCTTAGTCGATCCGTTCATTCAGTGGGTGCTCCTGGGGTTGCTGTGTAGCAAGGCGTGTTCCTCGTTTGTGTAAGCAGGACGTTGCATCACCGCTCTCGCGCTTTGGGGTGTTCAGAATGTTGCACATTCCTCACTGCTCGATTCTGAGAGAGTATGATGAGTCAATCCAATCATTCTTGAGTTCGCCAGCTTCTGTTGCTGCAGTCCTAAATGCATGAACTGCAAGAACCATCCACAGCGTTACGATTCTTCTGCTAGTCCTGCACGCAAAACCTCTTGCACCTCTGCTGCCCCCTTCTGGCGTTCTACGGTTTCCGGCTTTCTGTCTTACTTGTGGACAAGAGAAATTGCCAGAATTCACACGTTTTCCTAAGCCTTGCACTTTCTGCGTGCAGGTAGGCAAGGCGCTGTATGACGGGCAGCTGCTGGACGTGTACTTCACGCGCTCCTTCTACAAGCACATCCTGGGCAACAAGATCACGTACCACGACATCGAGGCCATCGACCCCGAGTACTACAAAAACCTAAAGTGGATGCTCGACGTGAGTTTTTCAGCGTTTCCGAAACCTTCGGACAACTGCAACTGTTCATGCGGGTTTGCAGCCGTACAGATGAGTCACCTCGTGATTGCGAGCAGGGGCAAGGGAAAAGGCCGTCATTATCTATGGAGGTCGGCAGTCGGGCCTTGAGGTGCACTGCTGATTGTTCTGTTTTCGACCTCAAGCCAAGTGTTTCGAAACCAGGGATTAGTTTCAAACTTTCGTAATTTCGGGTTCTCCAGGTTTTCCCCGGAGCTTGTTTCTCGACCATTTTGAACAGACCCTCAATATCTCTTCACGTCAAAGCTGGCAGTTAGGATGCAATGCTCCATAATGGAGTCTGCCACTGCGATGATTCTTATGGAGCCATTGCGACGGCTCAGGATCGCAGACTGCGCTCAGAATAGTATTGATCTGGGCCTGCAAACCCTTGACCAAAAAAATTGGCCTTTATTTCAGAACGACATCACGGGCGTGCTGGACCTGACCTTCGCCGTCGAAGCCGACGAAGAGCAGCACATATTGTACGAGAAGCAGCAGCTCCACGACCACGAGCTCAAGCCGGGCGGCCGCGACATTCCGGTGACCGAGGCCAACAAGCGCGAGTACGTCAACCTAGTTGCCGAGCACCGCATGACGACCGCGATCCGCCCGCAAATTTCGGCGTTCCTGGATGGTTTCCACGAGCTCATTCCCAAGGACCTGATCGCGGTGTTCAACGACAAGGAGCTGGAGCTGCTCATCAGCGGCCTGCCCGAGATCGACAGTGAGTGATACTCTATAAAGTCATCGTTCTGAAATACTATGCTTCCTTGGCCGGGATCCTATGTTCTAAAACTGACGAAAAAGGTCGCTCAGCCGATCTGCGATATGCCCTAGATCGACCAGTGTGAGCACCCACGTGTCTACAATCCTGCTACGCTTCAGATTCCTCGTGTTTCGGTGCTTTTGCTGGACAGTACTGCTTTGTTTGACTCGTGAACGTTGAGAATACGATGTTCTTGGGACGGATTTTGCAGCGGCCTACACAACTTCGGATCCTCGAGGGGGGGAAAGGGCCAAAACATATGCGGACTTCTTCATCCGTATGCCTTCAAGAAATTGAGGCAGTCAGCTTGTTCAATTCGTATCTTCTGCCAGCCGCACAACTTCTGGATCACGACCTCCTTGCTGAGAAAAGAGCGATAGGAGAAACGGCCTGTGCTGACGTCATCTTCCGTTTCTGTTGCGTCTCCGCCGTCGAGGACCTGAAGCAGAACACGGAGTACCATTGCCCAAACAGGATCATTTTTCCCGATTGAAAGGAAAAGGTCTTTGCTGACGTCAGATACTCGCCAATAATGCCCGCAGTCGAGGACCTGAGAAAATGGCTTGTGCTGACGTCATTTTTATTTCTCTCAGTTGAGGACCTGAAGCAGAACACGGAGTACACGGGCTTCACGGGCGCATCTCCCGTGGTGCAGTGGTTCTGGGACGTCGTCCGCAACTTCAGCAAGGAGGACCAGGCGCGCCTCCTGCAGTTCACCACCGGTACCTCCAAGGTACGAACCGGCAGCCTTTTCTTCTCTGTTCCTTCGGAAGTATGCAGAGCAAGGAAGTCGTGGAGGTCGTTCTCTCGTAAATACCCGGTTCGTGCCCGTATAAGAGTAGGCTCCCTGCTGGGGTGTGGTAGAAGATACCTCCTGGTCATTTTTGGACTCACCAGAGTCATCCTCCTTCGTCGGTCCTGGATTGAGCCATTCTCTGCAGACCTCGTTCCGATGATTGGCGTGGTAGCTCGTTGGAACACTTCATCTTGTCGGCCACGAGTATCCGAAGCCTGAACCGCGGAAGGTCTGTTCGACTCTTTATTTTGAATACTCAGGCAACTGTGAGCTCTGCCGGGGGATCTAATCAGCATGTTTCCCGTTTGCAGGTGCCGCTGGAGGGCTTCAAGGCTCTGCAAGGCATCTCCGGCCCGCAGCGCTTCCAGATCCACAAGGCGTACGGCGCCCCGGACCGCCTGCCGTCGGCCCACACGTGCTTCAACCAGCTGGACCTGCCAGAATACCAGATGCGCGAGCAGCTGCAGGAACGACTCTTGCTGGCAATCCACGAGGGAAGTGAGGGCTTCGGGTTTGGCTAGTCGAAAGTCGCAATGCTTGGAACGTGTTAAGCTGTACAGTTTTGCAGCAAGTGTTAAGTCTGATACTGTCGTCATGTGCTACTGTCCTCCTTTAACAGTGGGACTGTGGGCATCAACAATTCAACAATTTGTAGACCTTCTCAAGTCATTCAGGGCCTGGACCTGCCTTCAAACTGGTAAACGTAGCTCGTATCTCTTGCCAGTATATGCATCATGATCTGGGCCGTGCTTACAGCTTGTTGGTCAATTACATGAAAGATCACCATGTATTGAGTTCATGCACGTTCTGTTCGTTTTTGTGCTAGAAGCACAAAACGTGGGCTGCAGATGTGTCTCTAATGCTTGAGCTGCGCGTTTTTCCCGCACTTTTGGCACATGTTCGAGCGATTGATCCCATGCATGGCACATGCAATCGAGCCTAGCTGAGCTCTGGCTAGCACTGGCAATGAATGCAACCAAGGCGAAATACGATTTTCAGTGTTGGATTTAGCTCGATCAAAGGTCTAACGACACGCATGCAGGGGCGGACGGATCTTGATTACCAACTTAAGTGCTGTACACCTGTATCAGTATGTAGTAGCAAGTATACACAAGTTTGCCGCTCCCAGTCTTCAACATCCGACATGCTCAGTAACCATACATATTGCGCGCAACATTAGTATGCCAAAGCCGTTACATCGAGATCTAGCGGCTGGATACGACTGCTGTTAAATGATTGCATGGAAATAGCATATGCGAATGATACATGTACTATAGCGCGATCCGCCGTATGTGAGCAACGAGTCAACGTACGCAGCCTGCGGTTGCCTGTGTGCAAACTCAATGGTAACTTGACCATGCAGGCAAATGTAGGGCTATGCTAATATCTAAAATATGTTGAGCAGGATCTACTCAAAATCGATTTTGGAGGAGGCTCTCTCTTCCAGTTCTGCGACAAGCGATCGTGATCGCATGTGTGAGTTTAGTTTTAGCACACGTTGAAAAGGACACTTGAATTCTTTTCTATGGTTGAAAAGATCGAGGAACGAAAATAGTAGACATTCCGCCATGTGTCAACTGAAAGTGTTTCAAGTAATTCCGGCCAATGGTCCGATTATTATTGAGGCCTGGCTGGCTGATCTGGCGTTAAAAGGTGAAACTGCAAGATCTGAAACCGGACATAAGATGTATGCCATAAGTGTAAAGTGGCTAAAGAGACGGGCATATACCTACACACCGCATCCATAGTAAAGAAGTGCCACTCTTTGTACGTAGTTCGCTCAAGATACACTAACTATGACTCACAAGTAAGAGTTACCTAGCAGTTCCTTACGTAGACCATTGACCTAAAGTATGTAAGCGTCTACGGCTTCCTTGCAAGAAGCCTTCGCTCTTCGTATTGCTCGATCGACCTGACTAGGGCTTCGCCGCAACCTGCTTTGAGCCGCCTGGTGAAACCGGAGTCGTGAAGCGGCCAGTTTATAATGGACTCAGGCAGCTCTAGCAGAGCACTACAGCCGGCTAGATTAACAGCGGATATTTTGCACCAGTCTCCTATACCACTGGGCAAACATTTGATCCCCGTACAGCCTTTCAAGCTAACATCCGTCAAATTCGTCCATTCCCTGACTGACTCGGGAAGACCTTCCAAAGCAGTGCATGCCTCCCATCCTTCAGAATGCCCTACAAAGAGCACACGGAGACTATGCCAAGAGCCTACGGTCTCAGGTAAGGCCCTCAACCCTGTGCAACCACTTAGCTCTGCGCACTCCAAATCCCGCCATTTCCCCACGGTTTCTGGGAGGCTATTCAAGCGAGGACACGAAAGCTGGAGGTCCCGCAAGCAGCCCCAAGAGCCTACGGTTTCTGGCAACCGCAGCGATTTTGAGCTGTTGAATTAGAGGGTTGTCAATTTCTCCCAGGCCCCGACTGCGCTCTCCGGAAGCGTCTCAACTTCCAGGTCGTTGATGCTTAGGATTTTGAGGGAGGTCCATCCATCGGCGCTTTGTGGTAACGCCACCAAGCCGCCAAAGTATGCGTTTTCGAGGTTTACCCAGGCCCCCACCTCTTTTGGGAGAACCAAATTCGACAGACTCATGTTGAAACTTATCGCCTGCAGCTGCTTCCATTGGCCGACTCCTTCAGGCAGCGATCGTAGCCCCTCGCAGCGTGTTATGTTGAGTTGCTCCAGGTTCCTCCACCCCTTGACGCCAGCCGACAAGTCCCAAAGCTTGCGGCAACGATCAACATCCACCGATCGCAACCGGACGCAGCGCTCGACCGATTCAGGGAGGCGGTCTATCTCGATGTCGTAGAGGTTGAGGCGAGTGAGAGACTCCCATGATTGGGACCTCGTTGGAGGGCGCAGCGAAACGTTTAGACAAGCAAGTCCTCCTTTGGCTGGCTGTCCAGCTTGCAGGGTCCCCAGAGATGAGCACTCCGACAAGGTCAAGTCTTCCAGGGCTGACCATTTCTGGGTTCCCCCGGGCAGGCCTTTGAGCTGGTTGCACCGGTAGATGCTTGCGGCTCGCAGCGAGATCCAGCTACCGACCCCCTTGGGAAGAGACGCTAGGGCGGCACACCTAAGTAACTGCAGATTCTGCAACTCTGTCCACCCTGAGACCCCTTCGGAAAGATCGAGAACGCTGTCGCAGCCACTCAGGGTAAAGCTGCGCAGCTTACTCCATCCCGCCACCTCCAAAGGCAGCCTAACAAGTCTCTTGCAATTGCTTATCGTTGCAGAGACCAAGGCCCTCCACTCCCCTACAGCTGCAGGGAGCTCACACAGGCTAAGATCACATAATGAGATCTGTTTCAACCGCTTCCAGGACCCCACGGCAGGTGGCAACTCCATTATTCCCTGACACCACCCCAGGAGGAGCTTTTGCAGATCAACCCATGCGCGCACCTCACTTGGAAGAGCGCTTAACAGAGGTGCACTGCGGATTTCAACTCGCTGAATCCCCTTCCAAGAGGAGACCCCTCTAGGGAGACGTTGCAGCATCGGGCAAGAGTTCAGCACCAACTCCTGAAGGTCTTTCCACTCTCCAGCCGCATCAGCCGACAGTTCCGCAGCGGTCAGCGTTTCTAGCTTCAGAGATCGTAAATTTGTCCAGAACCTGCTTCCCGAAGGCAGGGCTTCACAATAACGCAGTTTCAAATCCTGCAGATTTGTCCACCCCTTGACTTCCTCAGAGACATGGTCAAAGTCGACAACGAACCTGCCATTCAACACCTCCAGGCGCTCGAGCTGTTTCCAACCTTTTATATTGCTTGGCAGCGATAGCGATTGCAGCTGGTGCTTGGATGCCCAGAATTGAAAACGTAAATGCTTGATGCGAGTCCTGCCTAGGTCCAAGTTTGATGTGACCCTCTGAAAGATGGCTGCAAGAGAATCTTGATCAAGCGCGTAAGAGTTGTCGAATGAGAGAGACTCGACGTGAGGAAAGGCGCTCAAGGCTTTGAACAAAACCGCTTCTACATCATTTCCATACTTGTGGCAGTCAATCCGCAAGCGCCTTGTCGCCTCTCTTCCTAGAGAGCGCCAGTGCTTGCAAACTTGCATGAAGCGTTCCAGCGAAGCCTTTTCATAGAAACCCTCATCGAGCAAGCTCGCTATTTTCACGAGGATGTCTTCTGGCAGGACGTCATTGATACATGAAGCATGTTGGCTCTGAGAAGCCATGGCGACTCGATTTGATTGACCGCGCTCTACTTTTCTGTTAGGGTACCGTCACTTTGAAGTGGCACCCCCTTAGGTATTCTGTTGGGGGGGGGGGGGCTTGGGTTGCTTCGGCCAACCGAAGGCGA